GAAGGCTACCTATCGGCTGCTGCGACCAAAGGTGAACATAAAAGAAAAGGTAAAGGCTTGATGGAGGTCTCATTTAAATGTAGGAACTGAGGCCATCCGCCACATCCGATGGTTCACCGCCACAAGGTCTAGGCCAGCAAAGATGGCCTCGCAGCAGCGGCAGATAGAACATCGCTGCCTGCCCACCAACGACTGGTTGACAGATCGTACATACCTAGAGCAGAAAGAGAGGGCACTACCGTGGTGGAAATCGTGGCACACGGTCTTCCCATCCCGCAAAATCCCGGAAACCATCGAGCATATATTCATGCAGTGTCCAAGGGTTGTGCTCACATGGCGATGGTGGGATAGGATCTGGACACTGTTGGGCACGGGGTCCAAATGGCCATGGGATTGGAGGGCGATATTACGCGAGGCATGGACCCTCTGGAGAAAACGCTGTATCCATGCAATCGAGGGGGTTCGCATAGCTGGAGAAGACGTAACAGACATGATAAAACAATATATTCAACAAGAACTCGTGGTACAGTGGCAAAAAGTTAAGAACCAACTCGAGCTGTTTCATTCATCAAAGGACATAACACAAGCAATTCATCAATTCTCTGGGGACTGGTTGGGCAATGAGGACGGGGGCTGGATCGCATCTGTCCGATGGGATGGCAGATCTGCCCAGGAATGTAACCAGGAGGAATTCAAAAAAGACTACTGTATTTGTTTCAGAGACTGGACTACGGTGGGCCAGGAGATCCCGTTGTGACCATCCACAGAATTCCCCGATCCCTTCCCACCCCACCAACTGGCAATCGTCGATATGCAATGGTACATCGCAGAGTCAGCAAGACTACAGGCCTACAGAGGCTGATGGGACTGAGTACAGAAGCAGCGGGTCAACAAACAGGACACGGAAGGTATCAGCAGGTATTCAAAAGAAATAGAAAGTAGCCGCTAGGAAAAATGAGGGAGCTGCGGTCTGGCGCAGACTGAAGAGGCGGCGCCCTGAAGTGTTCTGATTGTCCAACATACTTATCATTCCATCATACTTATCGTTAACACTGATGTGGGACCGGGGCTGGTAGGGCGAGGGAGGCACTAGTGTGTAGCAGTGTATCTTGCACCGGGTTCAGGGTGAAGAGGTTCCCCCTTCCTTCTAATATCCTGCTTGGTCAATCCCCTGGATCCCAGGGTAATCAATGCTGGCTGGAACCCCTCACAATTGTTTTCTGATGTACTCCAAATTCAGTCTGTATACGGGACGCTGGACCCGTTTTCCAGCAGGTGATGCTCCCCACCAATAGATGGAGCCTCTTCCCAGGTGCTAGTGGTGTCTGCTCTTATCAGCACCACTAGCACTGGTGTACGTGAGTTCAAAAAAAAAAAAAAAAAAAAAAAAACAATTGTGGCTGGTATTGTTGAAAAACCACCAAAGGTTTTGAAATACAGGTAAGTTTGAATGGGACATCAGTTAAAATTGGAACGATACAGAGAGAAAGACGATTAGCATGGCCCCTGCGCTTTCAAGGATGACACGCATAAATCAAGAAATGGTCCAAAATTCCAACTCACAAGGAATTAAGTTTTAACTTTTAAGCAACCCTTCTGTTTTCTGAATCCTGTACGCTGTCTGCATGAAGTGGACTCTCCTCCACGCCTGGTGCGCATCAAACTGGATAAAGTTCGAATGGTAGAAGTCCTAGCAAATGAGAGGGGAAAAAAAAAAAAAAAARAARWAACCCCCCCCCCCCCCCTCTTTTCCCACACCATGCCAATAGAGGTTTTGGAAGCAGATCCAGTGGAATGTGGTGCGGAACATGAGATGATGAGGCTGTTATAAATTGGTATCGCAACGAAAAAAAAGAAAAAAGAAAAAGAGAGAGAACATCCTGAACTCTGCTGCTAAGCTGGGATACTCGCTCAGATTGAAGTCCCAGCCAACAGAAAAAAAAGAAGAAAAAAAAAAAAAGGATGGATCAGAGAGCTGGGAAAGGCGCTTGGAAGTTGGGAGTTAAAACTGAGGGAGGGCTTTTTCCTTGAAAGCAAGTAAACAAATTATACCAGATTAGAGAAAGTGAGGAGTAGGCTATCGGAATACACAAGCAAGGAGTAGGCAATCACTATACACAAGTAAGGAGTCGGCAATAGGAAATGGCTATACACAAAGCAAGGAGTAGGCAATAGGCAATGGCTGTACACAAGTATGGAGTAGGCAATAGGTAATGACTATACACAAAGTAACCCTGCGCAAAATTGATTTTCAAGCGGGGAAAGGTACTGGTGCTTTAAGGAAGCAATCAATGCCCCTGCCACAGGGTCCTTCACCCATAATGGAAGGAAGCATGGTTCCGCATTAAAAAAAAAAAAAAAAGAGTCGCTCCGCATTGCAAGGGATGCTGGTGCAAGGATGTTCCAGCTATTATAAGGAATGGGATGCTTTACAACAAAAAAAAAAAAAAAAAAAAAAAAAAAAAAAAAAAAAAAAAAAAAAAAAAAAAAAAAAAACACCATCAAACAAATCTTCAACCTGATCCAAATAGACCCTGTTCCAAGTATCCATCGATGGGGCTCTCAGCACGGCAGAAAACCCAAAAGCCCTGCCCTTCCCCAGCGAATCCCTAATAGCCGCCACCCCCTCCTCCTTCCCCACCACCACCCTATTCGCTCCACACCCCCAGTTTGGCCAATTGGCAATCAGCAGAACCAACCGAAGAAACACATCCAGCAATAAAAATCCAAGTGGATCATTACGGACCCCCATATAGTATAGAAGCTTCAAAAAAAAAAAAAAAGGAAACAAAAAAGACACAAGAAAAAAGACAAGTATAGAACCTATGGATGGATACAACTTCACAACCGCCTTCAACATTAAAAAAAAGCATTCCAAAACCAACGGGCCTAGCTCGGTTGGTACACCCGTGAACTGTTGAAATACAGACCCCAAGTTTGAATCCAGACGCAGTCAGATTAACAAAATTACATTTAAATTAAAAAAAAAAAAAAAAAAAGCATTCCAAGGAATCACCTACACGATCAGCTGTCACAGATATCTCGCCACAGACCTCCTGTCCAAACACACCAGTCGTTATGTCGATCTCAGAGACCGTCGTCTCAGTCAGGGCAAAGCAGTGCCACTTTCACATCCCTCTGCTCCTCTGCTAGGAAATTCCACTGTACCTCTGGTCTTTCAAATCCATTCAGATAGTGCACCCCACCAAGGAGAAAGCAGTCGCTCCAACTGCTTACCAAATGTGGAAAACAAAAAGGAATCTTTCCCTAGAACATGGACAGAAACACCATCATTTTTTTTGTCGTTCACGGTGGTGAGTAACGGAGCAAGGCCCAATACCACCCACCCACCATTACTCCCTCCCTGCACTGCGAAGTTGAACCCCTCTTTCTGGATCAGGAGATCAGCCCCCGGCACCCACTTCCACTCCAAACGTCATATTCATGGTAGTACAAGGAACACTCCCTCCCCACGCTGCACTCCAACCAGCAGCTGCCAATAGAGTGGCTTCAGGCAGTATAGATATACATCATAGCATTGTCCAGCGACCCTAAACGATAAACGTTCAACCGCCTCACCCCTACCCGTCTACTTCTCACTCAGCAGAGTGGGAGAGGAAACACCTCCCGCCTCCCTCTTTTTCGGAAAAGGGAGAAGGGGGGGGGGGGGGGGGGGGGGGAAAGAAGAAAACCAATAATATTCTCCTCCCAGGACCCTCTGTACAGCAATGTGGCAACCACTCCTCGCCACTGGTGCGCGCACCTCCTACACACTGTGAACAAGACTTTCATCAACGCCTGCTTGCATAGTATGCATACACAAAACTGCAACTGGAAAAAAACACGACAAAAACGGCACTACCGTGATGTGCGCAGCCCGAAGCCTGCCATGCAACTTCGCGGTGTTGGCTGATGAATTGGAACTCTGACCGAACAAGCTGTGTGCTTGTCATCGCCAACCTCATTCGTGTTGAGATAGGGGGGTGCCGGGGTCTGTACGTCGTTGATTCCCGATGGATATCCTCATGCAGCCGTGGTTAATCCTGGCTCCTGGGCTTTCCACTTTGCACTCCATACCTTCACCTCACAACGGAGGACGTCACGTTAGAAGAGTAAATACATGCGATGGGAAAACACACCGCACAATATACATGCCAGGGCAGCTGCGCAAGATACAATAGCATTAACGAGGGGCCCTAAAACAAATCGCTTACAGCAGTCCAATAAAGGCTGCACTCTCTCCCGCCACCTGTCTTTCAGCGCAACATACATACAACTGCAGAAACAACAGCGTCCGGTCAAAAAAAAGTCTGTGGTTGCGTCTGTTCATTATGATCTACGTCAACTTCTAGTGTGCTCCGTGCAAGCCGCCTCCATCAAACTATCAACATTATGTCTCTGTGCAGATTTGTACACACTGCCACACAATTTGACCACAAGCGCAGCTTGGTATATAACTGCATCGGCTATGCAGTGTAAAAAAATGGATTAGTTGTCTTTTTCCTTGAGTATAAAAGGAGGCGGTATGACGACTCCGTGCAACACACAATGGCGGACGGCAAAAATGATACGATAACCTTGTACACAGCATAGTAACCCTGAGGGACTTATGATCACAAATTTCCACAATGAAGTTGACGAGTGCGCTAACGGGTCCTTGTGTACAGGAGAACCCTATTTGGATGTGAGCTTTTCAAAGGCCCTTCTATACAGCAGAACAAGGCGGAAGCAATTGAACGCTCAAAATGTCAAAATGAACGACCGCCTTCCGCTCCGGACCATTAAAAAACTTGGTAGCCTGCTCACACTCCAATCTCTATAACAGAAAAGCTTCCGCCTTCGACGCATCGACAGACATTCAAGGCCCGGGGAAAAGGGAGTTGAATTGTTCATGTTACTTGGCAGCTGCACCTGCACCGGAATCGACAAAGTCTCATCGACAACCTTTCGCTTTTGCCAATTTTCCACGATTGCCTCCTGTTAGCAAACAGCAATGTAGCAGATGGATGACACTTGAGTCTCCACAATCAGACCGTGATCCACGAGTACCTGTTCTTATTGTCAGGGCCAGGGCCCTTCCTATTCGCGAGGAGGACATTTCAGTGCAGCTGTTGAAAAAAAACACTTAGCCTCCCCTCAGCCTCTTCTCAGTCATTGCCTCTTGCCCAAAATCTGTGACCCACCAGATGATAACCCAGAAGCAGAATGAGTTTGGCTGCCCTCCGCTTGACGTACCCTTCCCACCGCGGAGGATGGCCTGGAAGCAGAACCGTTGTGTGTTGCTGAAGATGGAGGTGGCGACCATGAACTGAAGCCGAAAAGCGAGGTGGTGGGTGACGGCGCAGGGTTGGAAAATGTGAAAACAGGAAACGGACGAGGACCCACAGGAGTGCTGGGGGCACTGGGGGTTGTGCTTGTGCTGCTCGGGGCAATGCCCGCCATTGACGACACCCTCGTACACGGCGAGCCAAATCGGGATTGATGAAACGCTTGGATCATCGTGTTAGAGTTGGTGGAGTTCATCTGGCCAGGAGAGGATGACGAAGACACAAGTGGTTGGACACCTGATGGGGACGGGCTGAAGCCCTTCGTCGACGCCGGCGCTGCTAAATTTAGTGGCTGCCAAGGAGAGGACCCGGACGGGCTCAGCAGTGACAGTGACGGCTGCGACGAGGACGATGGGGAACTAGCTAACCCGTTCAAGGGAGGTGAGTGTACGGCAAAAGGCGTAACGGATGCACCCGGCAGCCTGGAATTCGTGCGCAGACTTGCCGCGCTGGAAAAGAGAGGTGGATTTGTCGACGAAGTTTCACAAAAACTGCTCTTTGCACCGGTACTATTATTAGTGGGAGGAGAAGACCTCCTCTCCGATTTTACCTTGGCTAGAGTTAAGCCCGTCGCCGACCGCCATTTCGTCTGATACTTCCCCGTGTTCACGGATAGGGCTCGCGCTTGACTCCGATACGCATTTAACAGAATGTTCTCAGGAACCACTCCCAGAGGCTCTATGTGCTCAGCGATGAAGTTTGGGCTGACGTACTCAAGTTTGACGTGTTTCATTACCTCAGCCAAGCGCTGGTCAGCGTCTTCGTCTTTCAAACTTGCCGCCGAAGAGCCCTTTGCCATCGTACCCCCCGCATCAACCTTAAGAGAACCCCAGTTGACAGCCGCCTCCGCAAATTCCTGCTCACTTGCTTCCATGGATGCATGGTCTAGACAGAAGACGACGCTCTCCATGCTCCACCCCATGAACGAACACGGATTGAAGTCGTGACGCTGAAATGCGTTCAGCGCCATTTCTACAATCTCGTCCAGTCCACGATGCAAGGCCGCGCTCATTACTTCTCCGATGACAATGCTCAGTGGCTTGTTGGACAGAGTCAGCGCAAGCAATCCACTCACATGATTGCAGAAGTCAACGATTTGGTACTGATCCGCCAACGCGTACGCATTGACCATGTCGCCATACGAGTAGGGCGGAGACTGACAGGCGCAGCCATGAAGGTATTCAAAGATCATTCTAAGGTATTTCGCGACTGCATCTGGCAGTGGGATTCGCTGAAGGCCTTTCTCGCGCATATTGCCATAAAAGAGATTGGAGAAGTACTCGCTCGATGCCGCCAGAAAGGCTCGATTGACCTTCACCTCCTCATTCTCCACGCACACAAAGGTGACATCCAGCAGTTCCTCTCTCTCTAAGAGACTCTTGGCGGTGCGAAGCACAGCAGCCTGCTGCTTGCACTCCAACTCACTGCCGCTGGGAGGAACTTTTTTCGAAGAATCTGGCATCAGAATCATCAGAGAGCTTCATTAATAAAAAAAATGACCTGTTTCTGTAAGAAAACAAAAAAGTAACACTGAGTCATCTGAGAGCAGCACGAGGAATGGAGGTACTTAAGAATAACAGGCCAAAAAAATAAAAATAAAAATAAAAATAAAAATAAAATAAAAGTAAAAATAAAAATAAAAATAAAATAAACATAAAAATAAACATAAAAATAAACATAAAAATAAAAGTAAAACGATGAGGTAAGAGACCCACCACACAGTCAGCATATATATCCGCCACACTTCAAGTCATTAAAAAAAAAAAAAATACTAATCATAAACCCCAGCAATAGAAAGGCGCTTCCTTTTTCTAAAAAAAAAAAAAAAAGTAATAACCCCGGACCAAAAAGACGAGAAAAACAGACATACAGTCCACAGTAGTTGATCTCTTCATATTCCAGAAATAAAATGGTACTTTTTCATTCGCCTCTCTGTGCAGCTGGTATGAACTTCAAAAGGGGCGCCAGTCCTATTCATGCTGTCATATTTTTGTCCAGAGCCTCCGAAGCACGGTGAACTCAAGCAAGACAACTTAACCACCAGTAATACCGCGGACCCAGCTGTGTCAAGCCTAAATTTTCAGCGACTCTGCCCTGCCCTTTGATCGACATGCATTCGGTTTGAACTGAATAATCTCTCTCTCTCTCTCTCTCTCTCTCTCTCTCTCTCTCTCTCTCTCTCTCACACACACACACACACACACACACACACACATCT